CCCTCACCTATGGATATGGATGGGGGCAATCTTTTGGAGAACACTAAAGCTAAACTCCCAGTGACATTTTACTTCTCTCATCTGTATGTGTATATGTGTGTGTGTGTGTGTGTGTATTAAAAAAACAACAAGGCCAGGCACGGTGGCTCACACCTGTAAACCTAGCACTCTGGGAGGCCAAGGCAAGAGGATCCCTTGAGCTCAGGAGTTCCAGACCAGCCTGAGCAACTACTCATAAACTGAGGCCACGTGTGCCAGTACTGAGTTCTGGTGCACGTGGCCTCAGTTTATTCCCTGTGAACAGTGCCTTGAACACTCCTTATCTGTCTTTTGGTGAACATAAGTGTGCATTTCTTTCTCCTGGGCACAAGGATTAGGATGGAGTTGCTGGGTCTAAAGCGTTCATGTCTCCTTCTTAACATATATTACTTATCATTGTTGAAACCTTGGAATGAAGACCCCCTGCACTTTTGTCACATCCTGGGCTGGCTGGGCTGGGATGCTGCAGGGGCAACCCCAGACCCTCCAACCTTGCCCCAGACTAGCACACACCACCAGACCTCAGGGAAGGCACAGACATGAGGCGCTCTGATCATCAGTCTGACTTCAGCCTGTCCCCTGACTCGCTGCTATCAGGCACTTTCTCTACCTCTTGCCCACTTCAAATTTCCACAAACTCAGCTGCCTTTGGAGTTGAAGAGGGTGGATAAGTACAGGGAACCTCTCTCATGATGGTGTGAAGAGTGGACAGGGATGGGGGTCAGGACACTCCACTGCCTCCTCTCCCTGGTGCACAGGCAGGGAAGAGCAAAGGGGCTGAGTGCCAGGCAGCCACAGCCTCTGGGAAGATCAGCTCCAGCTTCCCTCCACCGCCAGCTCCCCCAGCTCCCTCCTGCCCTCTTCCCTATTTCTTCCCAAGTCAGAACCAGCTCTGCCTTCCTCCTACATTTGCTGCTCAGCAGACACTGCCAGGGGAAGAGGAATTTAGGGCACACGTGTGCTTCCTTAACTCAGACCCAGCTCCTTCTCTGCCCAGCTGCAATGCGGATGGCTCTGGCTCCCTGAATTGCCTTCCCTCCACTCAGCTCCAGCCTCTGGCTCTGCCACTGTGCAGCAAGGGGGTCAGAAGACATCTACCTGTCAAACCCCAAAACAGGTAGATATTTGCCTTGAGGGAGGCTGTGCCTCCTGCCAAATCTTAGTCTGTGTCTGTGTCATGGCAGGTCGGGGGCAAGGAGAAAATGGGAAGGCACAAGGTGACAGGCTGTACCTGCAGTGATGTATCCATTCTGTGACGCATTTTGGTTTGTGAGCCTCTCCACTGACTTAAGAGGAGAGAAAAAGATAAGCCCAGGGCTGAGCCTTCTTCTGGCCTTTGTCATTGCATCCTCACCTGGCCCAGACCCCATTATCTGGACACATTCATGTCCTCTGTTCATTCTGGGATCAGAGTGGACAGGCTTGGGCCATCATGGGGCCTCACAGTAGGGGCACTCAGGAGAGTTCCAGGGGCTTTGGGAAGGAAGGGTAGAGGTGGGCATTGACAGCAGGGGTGGGTAGGGAGGGAGGCCATACTGCAGGTCGCTAGTGGGTATGGATTCTACTACTGTTCTTCCCATGTCCATGGTTCACTGCTGTGCACATCATCCACTCACTGGGCATGGTCACAAAGCACCCGGCAGCACAGTGGCCTGAGGCTTCTTCTGAGAACCTGGCAGCCTGTGAAAAGTTGCTGAGATGGACCAAGTTCCAGAGGGGTTAGCAGGAAAGGTTACGCCAGGGGGGTGGGTCTCAAGGCTGCCCAAGGACAAGAAGCCAACCTAGCATTGCAATGCCCTGGGGTCCCGTGTGCCAAGCAAAGTGGTTCCCAGAAGCAGTTGATGACAGAGCCCTCAGGACAAAACCAACACCCTGCGGGGTGGGAAGCTGCATTTCTCCTCTTTGGTGGTCTGTAGAGCTGTCATTCTGACCGTGCCAGACCCGCAGGCCCCTCCCCTGCTCCAAGGGTGCTCAGAGCCCTCCTCATTTCTCTCCTGCCTCTGCCCACTCCTGAGACTGAGGATGCTTTGGGCCCCCAGGGGAACCTGTCATGCTAAGATGCACTCCCTCTGAGCTCTCCTTCTTTCCCCACAAGCAGAGGCTGAGGAAGGAACCAGGGAGAGACGCAGAGGTCTGGGCTGGTCCAGTGAGCCCTTGCTGCCTATGTTTGGTTGAGACCACAGACCAGCCTTTGCTAAGGGAAACAAACACCGGTTACAAACAGCACCCTCTGTGGGCCTGCCCATCCCTCCGTGGGCCCCTCTCTTTGGCTGTGGAGTGCTAGTTAATCACATTTCTTTACCTCAATGTTTGCAGCTACACAGATGCTGTGTGCCTAGGGAGGGGGGGAGTCTGGGGAGTGGCTCAGGCTGGATGGGAAAGATGCTCACAGGGGACAGCGAGTAGGAGAGGCCACCTGGGGTGGGGTGGGGCAGGGAGGGAGAGTGCTCAGTTAGCAGGGGCTTATGGAGACACCCCAGGATCTGTGAGTTCTGAGAAGTTATGGCTTCCTGGGCAAGACACTGAACTAGCCTCTAAGGGAAACACAACTAAAAGACTAAGTTGAAGTGATGCTGGGTCACTAAGAATCACATTGTCTAGTTAGTGAGCAGACACTGCCCAAGGTCAGAATAGCTGTGCCCTTGGTACAAGAGAATTGGTTGATTCTGTCTGGGCATCTGACAGTCCTCAGCCACAGGAAGTTGGTCAAGGGCTACTCCACCAAGGGAGGGGTTAGTAAAACTAAAGAAAAAGGAAGACAGTCCCTTCTCCAGCTGAAGCCCTCCTCCTGCCCTCATGGTTCTCAGGCTCCCATGTAAAGGCTGAGGGGCCCCGCACTGACCTCCTAGGGTAGGAAAAGCTACAGGAAATGGCAGTGAGAATCAGAAGCAGGGGTTTGCTGAGAGGCATTCAGGACAGGAGATGCCCTCAGGCAGTTTCTAGACCAAGTAGCCAGCGAAGCCACTCAGAAAAGTGAAGTGACCCTCCTACCCTTAGAGTAGCAGGAGCCTGCAGTGATGTATACTCTGTGACTCACTTTGGTTTGTGAGCTTCTCCACTGACTCCAGAGGAGAAAAAGACAAGATCCTGTCCCACTATAGCTCCTGTTGGTGTCTGCCCCTTCATTTCTTTTCTTCACCCAGCGATTTGGTCCTATAGTCCCAATGCCCCAGACATATTCAGGGGCCTGGACATAGAGAGGTGCAGAAATGCACAGGATCCTTCAATCTGTCCAGGGCTGTGACCTATAGCCAGTCTCCAGGGAACACAGCACCTCCAAGGCTCCCTGAACTTCCATAAGCCCCCTGCACTGCAAAAGCCAGGCAAGCTATCGGTCAAGGCCTGTGCCTACCCAGGAAGGACCTGGTGCTGGGCATCAGCTGCAGGTCTGGGGGGGCCACAGAGAAGCCAAAAATCCTGGGGGAGGAGCACAGAAAGATGATGCAGTCATGCCAGTGTAAAGTGAGACTGGCTGGCCAGGAGCCTCCTCCAATCTGATTCTCCCTTAATACCTCCTCAGCTAGTTACCCCAGGAGAGGCCCTAAAGTGCATCTAGGGCAGAGGGAGCCCCTAGGGTCCACCCAGGCACTTAAGCCTCCCACTAGGCAGGCCTTCCTCATGTCCAACCTCACCGTGTACCAGACAACTGTGCTTCTACCAGTGAAAAGAAGGCATGTGTATTATTACAAAATCTTATTGATGGAGGTAAGACCTTGCTTGAAAGCCTTGGGGCCAGATGTGGTTCTGAATTTAGAATTCTTTGGATTTTAGAAAGACACAAAATTGTGATTTTTTTTGTTGTTGTTGTTGTCTTTTTTTGAGATAGTCTCAAGTTGTCACCCTGGGTAAGGTACCGTGGCATCACAGCTCACAGCAAACTCAAACTCTCGGGCTTAAGTGATTCTTTTGCTTCAGCCTCTCAAGTAGCTGGGACTACAGGTGCCCACCACAATGCCTGATTATTTTTTTGTTGCAGTTGTCATTGCTTTAGCTGGTCCAGGCCGGGTTCAAACCCACCAAGCTATATGGGCACCACGCAGGTGTGAATTTTTGATGTTGTATCACACTCCCAGTGGGGCCTGAGGTGATGTAATCAAATATATCATCATTTCTGTGGAAACTGCAAAAAGGCACACCATACAGGGAGTAATTACTGAGTATGAAAAACCTTACTTCTGAGTAGATTTTGAGGACAAACTCAGGAAAAACTCCTGACTTTGAAGTCTTTTGGATTTCAAGATTTCAGAATTGCAGGTAAGGGGCTGCAGAACTGTCCCTACTGCCATTTGAAGAATGGCAGGGTTGTCGTTGAGGCTCTCCGTGCAGAGGTGCACAAGTGACTGTGCTCATTGTAAAAATTCAAAGCACCCAAAAGGATAGGAAGGAGGATGTGGACGGTCATTCTGCAAGCTAGACTGGCCTAGAGTCCTGGCTCTGTCAGGAATGGCTGTGGGGCTCTGGGCCAGTGACTTGAGCTTTCTAGGCCTCAGTTTCCTCACCTGTAGCCCATGATTATTAATTCTTCTGAACAGGTGTGCTTTTTTGCCTAATGCACGAAAAGGGCTTAAAACCCTGTTTAGTGCATGGTCAGCAAAACTTACACAATAGTGTCATTGAGACAGAGGGACACTTAAGACACATCCTTCAGTAAAGCCTGATAGTTACCAGCTCACTGCTGAGGCCCTGAGCACAGGCTGAAATTTTGTTCTAGACTCAAAAGTCTTTCACATCCTTGGGCTGACGCCTCCTGGAGCTGCAAAACATCCAACCTGGTTTGGGGTCTGCTGAGGAACATGTAGGGTTGGAGGGGATGCAGATGGCCTGGCTTCAAGTCCATTATCCACCAAAATCCAACAACCCCATGAAGATAGAGCCTTCACCTGGAGTTCATTTGCAGGGCACCCTGTCCTCGTCCAAGAGTCCCAACCCCCTGCATACCAGGTAGCTTGAGAAGGTAATGGTTCATTGAATAAACAAAGACATGTAATTCTAGGCGAGTCTTATTCACAAAGTTGACATGGGCCTTCTGCTCTGATAAAAATGCAGAGAGGTGAGGCTGGGCCTTCCATGGGTCATACACTTAACAAGCATTTCCACAGGACACAGCAAAAAGAGGTCTTTCCCTTACTGCAAAAGTGACATGTGCTCATAGTAAAAATTCAAAGCACTTAAAAGGATAGGAAGGAGATGAGGATGGTCATTCTACATGCTTCCCTGAGCTGCTTCCACAAACAAGAACACTCATACTCCACCCCTATGTTCCTCACAAGATGGGATCACACTGACAAAAAGTCTGGGCAGCTGGGGCATTCTCCAAGCTGGCGGGCCATGCAGGTGCTGCCCTACACGTGCACAGCTCCTGCTTAATCTTGTTCCAGTTCTTCCTTGACTCAGCTGCATGCAGGGAAGTGGGAAAGAGAAGAGATGACCGAACTCACAAGGCACCTGTGAGGCTCAAGGGAGACACACACTTTTCATATAATCATTCTGTAAACTGTCAGGTGTGACACATATCTGAGGATTACTATTACTGCCCTCCTCCCACCCCCAAATGGGGAGCGATTAGATCTTTAGGAGGACTTCAGGAAGATGGCAAAGCCATCTCAGCAACACAAACAGGGTGGGCACTTGTGGTCAGATGACACCTGTCAGCCAACCAGCACGGCCTTGAGGGTCCCACACACACATCCCCAAAGGCCCCTGGGTTACCTGATGTTGAATTTTGGTCAACAGAAAGACTAGGCAGCCCCTGTCACTGGGCTCTGGGCTCTGTGGGGCTCCTCTCCACCTGTAGGGAAGAAAAAGGGCAGTGACACCGCAGGGCCCACCTCCCCCCAACACAGGGTCGTAGCTCCCCACAATGTACCCTCCACCTCCACCCCACACCCAGGGTTCAATGGCCCCTGCTAGGGATGGTCCAGGACAGCAGGAGGGGGTGGGGGCTGTGGTAAGCCAGGACCAGAGCCTGGAAGAGTGCCTGTCCACACCCGCCCACCCTTGTCTTTGGTTCTATGGCATCTCAGCTGTGCTTGGCACCCAGGACTTCCTTTTCTCAACTCACCCATCCCACAGTTACCTGGGGCTTGTTCATAAGACATCTGGTTCCTGGCTGTGGGAGAAAGAACACAAGAGACTAAGTGGGTGGTGGGCAGAGGAGGGAGAAAGGAAGTGAGGGGGCTCTGCATTCCCACATTCCCTCCCTGCTTGCCTTCTGGGCCCTTTCCAAGGCAGGCCCGATAGTCCCCTGACTGTGGGGTGGGGTACCAGGGTGGCTGGCTGTTCACAAGGGGACCAGTGCCAGGGCCTCAGCAGTAGCCAATTCCCCAGCGGAGAGGAATTCTGGCTGTGGGATGGGAACAGAGCATTCTTCTCCACAGGGCTGGAGTTCCAGGAGGGCCCCACTCCTTCATTTCTTCCCCACCTACCTTGAAGGCACTTCTTGGTCAAGATCATAACCACACCTGCCAGCATGACAGTGGCCAGAACTGCGGAGATGACCATGGGAATGAATTTGCCATGAGACGGCCATTCTAAAGAAGGCAGAGAAAAGGAGACATCCCCCCAGACCATGGAGCTGCCTCTGGGTGCCTGGGGACCACCCCACTCCCTTCCTGCCCCTCCTAGCCAGCCCGCCTCCTCACCCCAGGCCACAGTGAGAGTGTGGTTTAGGCTGGGGTGCTGGACGTGGCAGGTGTACCGGGCCTCCTCTCCAGTGGGCACCCACACAGCTACCCATGTCTGGTAGGTGCCGTCCCCACTGGGGCGTGTCTCCACATGCTCAGTTTCTAGGGTCAGCTCCTCATCACCCAGCCACCAGCTTAACAAGATGTCCCGTGGATAGAAGCCCAGGGCCCAGCATCTCAGAATGACTTCTCCACCTGCAGCCATGTTCCTTGTCACGTGCACCGAGGGAGGATCTGCGAGAGTGACAGAGGGAAGACAGCTGCTCTGCCAGTCCCCTGTCCCTGTGCTGAGCCCGGCCCCTCCAGCATCTTCCAGGGGTGGGAGACAGGGAAGGGACAGGAATGGGGTTCTCCAGGAGAGACACAGATGTCAGAGGCACAGATGATCACCAACTGTCCCAAAGGGGTATTTTCCTAAGAATTCCCACGGTGGGGGTGTGACCTCTCACCCCAACCTCCAAGGAGGGCCCAGGGCGGGGCTGTTGAGTCCTGTATAGATACATTCACACCTTTCTCCCCAAAGAGCCTAGAGTTTTTCCAGAGACTACACGACTCTCCTGTGACCTCCTGCACACAGTAGGTGCCTTAATAAGTGCCTGTCAAATGAAGGCAAGAATGATTAGACTTTCCTCACCTAGGGGCTGAAGTCAGGCAGGCTGGGTGTGAAGCCAAACTCGACCGCTTTGCAGCTGTGTGACCTGAAGGAGGCCCCGCAACTACTCTGTCTCTCAAAGCTTAATGGAGACCAAATGTTCCTTCCTGGCATGGCTGAGGATTCAGTGAAGTCACCCGGGTAAAGGGTGCAGAACGACTCCTGGTGCTGAGAGTTCCAACACTCACTTATGTAACACACCTACATGTTCCTTTAGGAAGTTACACTGATGAGGGAACTGAGGCACAGAGAGGGCAAGTAACTTGCCCAAGGTCACACAGTGAACAAGTCCTGGAGCTGTCATCCAGATCTGGGGCTTCTGGCTCTAGTGCCTGCACTCTGAACCACTACACCCAGGTGAGGCCTGAGGTAGCACCCAGGAGCTCCTCCTTGGGGAGATGCAGGCCACAGACATGCATAGACACACACCCAGACCTCATCTCCTGGGCCCTGGTGTCAGGCTAGCTCCTTATACATGCCTGGCCTTTTATTCCAGCTGTGCCTCCCTGGAATGAGGCCAGACTCCTCTGTATACAATCACAGTTCTTCCTCCTGCTACTGTTTGTCCTGTCCTCCTTGCAAGCAATGTCCTCCCCACGGCTTAGCCCATTAACACACCCCACCTCCTGCCCTGCAGCCTCCCTGACAATAGAGCTAGCCAGGACTCTACCCTCAGCACCCCTAAGCACCTGTCTTCCCTAGTGGTACCACAGCATTTGTGCTTTAGAGGTGAGATGCCTTCATGTTTCTAACCCTGCTGTTTGGGGTCTGGAGAAGTGTAGGGTCCACCCGGAGTCCAGAGGGCATGTTTAGAACCAGGGGCACACAGGGGGAGGGGATGAGAGGCTTCAGCTTCCCCAAAGTCTTGTGGTCTGGGGGCCCTGGCCTGATGGGGAATGTTATCTTCTTAGGTCTGGGATCTGTTTCTCAAGGATCAGATTGGTAGGGATTATACCACAAAGGGACTTCCTGACCCACCCAGTTTGACCCATTTGCTCTGCAGGTGAAGAAAATGAGGCCCAGAGCCTGCAGGGTCCTTACTCAAGAGCACGCAGTGGGGCAGAGAGACTACTTGTCCACCTGCCTTGGAGCATACCCTAAGGTCCAGACCTCTGTCCAGCTCTAGAGGAAGCACAGTGGTGCTCATCTAACTGGATCTTTTAGGTGGGCAGGCTCATGTCTGCAGGGATGGCTCTGGGAGTGGGCATGTCACGGCAGGTTGGGCCTTACCTCTGCGGGTGAGGCTCTGGCCTCCCAGCTCCAGGTACTGGCGCAGGGAGTTGAGGCAGGGTCCCTCCAGGTAAGCCTTGTCATATTCCGCATAGCAGCGCTCCATCTCCCACCAGTGCTTTGTCCACACAGCCATCGGCTCAGCCGACACCCAACTCAGTGTCTCCAGGTCTAGCGACAGGTGGTCCTGGCCATCAAAGCCAAACTGCCAGAAACTGGAGGAACTGCCGTCCTCATGGATCTTGCAGCCAAACATGCGTTGGGCGCTGTGTGCACCTGCACAGGCAGATGGGGCAGTCAGCGGCAGGTCCACCACCCACAGCCTCCAAATGCTCCCAGGTAATTCTCATGAGCAGCCAGGCTGAGAGATCTGCCAGGTTCTCTGCATGCTCAGAGGGCACCTGAGTTCCTGATTATAAGATATGCTGTTATTTTATATGCCACTAAGGACAAATGTCAGTAGTTTATGGGTGAAAGATGCCCTCGGTGGTGAGCCTGACACGCTCTGACTCCAGCAATGTGAGAACAAGGAGACTGCAAAGCCTGGCCATGTTGCCCTTAGGCCCTGCTGCTCCAGCTGTCCTACCTGTTCCTCCCCAGGCCTCTGTGCACCACACTTTGCTGTCAGCACAGGCTCTCAGGCTGCTGGGCTGAGGAAGCAGAGGAAGAAGAAATGCCCACTTTCTCTCACTGATGTTGGCTCCCTCCCTGGGGTGCCAAAGAGGAGGCATCATGGGCTCCCACTGATATTTGTCACACTGGTCTTTGGTTGATCACTGGAGCCACAATCATTTTTGAAGGCCCCGGCAACCCCCACTTGACCGTGTCAGAGCGCCTGGGTAAGGCTATGCACCTAAAGCATGCCCCACACCTGTGCCAGGCTGGGCAGAGCAGCTGCGACCCTGGCAGACAGGCACCATGGCCTGGAGGGTCTGGCAGGGTATGAGGAGGGTGGGGACCTCAGAGCTGCCCACGTACCGCTCTGGTTGTGGTGGTCCATCAGGCTCCACACTTCCACCTGCTGCACCTTCTCCCAGGTCCTCTGCTTCAGGGTCTCTGTCTCCCAGTACTGGGCATCCTCTGGTGCCATCCATGGGGCCTGAGGCTTGGCCCTGCCAGTGCTACTGTCATACCGGATGAAGGGCTGGTCATCCACATAACCCACAGCCAGAAACCGTGGGAGGCCGGGGCCTGGCTCTGACAGTGCCAGGTAGTGGTAGTGGAGAGTATGGGTTCCTGCGGAGACAGACTGGGTCTCACAACATAGGCCTAGTAGGACCTGCACAGGAGGGCCCTGTGTGGCTGGGTCAGCTGGGGTGGGAGCCTAGCCACTGAGCATCTACTATCATCAAGGTCAAGAACTGGGAATTTCAGGTAAAGAAAAAGGACAAGGGAGGGAGGAGGGAGTGGGGAGTTAATGTGAAGAGAGCTTCAATTTGGAAAGATGAAAAAGTTCTGGAGGTGGATAGAGGTGATGGCTATACAGCAACGTAAACTACTTAGTGCCACTGAAACACGCACCACAGAATGGTTAAAGTGGTAACTTTTATGTTATGTATATTTTATTATAATTAAATAGTTTAAATAATCAAACAATCAGCCAAACATTCACACCAAGGATCATGCACATGGGAGCTTGGACTTCACTTCTAGAAAGTTCTTCAACCCGGCTTTCAGGACCTACTCATGCTGTGTGTTCCTGTCTAGTGTAACTGTGAGGTTTCTCACCTCACAGTTAAAAAAAGAGTGATTGGCTCGGCGCCTGTGGCTCCAGGGGCTCAGGCACCAGCCACATACACCTGAGCTGGTGGGTTCGAATCCAGCCCAGGCTTGCCAAACAACAATGACGGCTGCAACCAAAAAATAGCCGGGCGTTGTGGCAGGTGCCTGTAATCCCAGCTACTAGTGAGGCGGAGGCAAGAGAATAGTTTGAGCCCAGGAGTTGGAGGTTGCTGTGAGCTGTGATGCCATAGCACTCTACCCAGGGTGACAAAATAAATAAATAATAAAATTAAATTAAATTAAATTAAAAAAGAATGATTAAAACAAAGCTGGTTGTTTACCCAAGCTTAACTGATGTGAACTTAAACAATGCACTCCCCAGAGGTGATCAAGAAAGGTCAGTGTCCTTCTTGGCCTGAAGCATAGCTGCCAAGTTAGGGCATCCTCACCTCCACCCAAGCCACACCTGTCCCACAGCCAGCCCTACTAGCCCAGTTCTATTCCCTAAGTCTAGGCGCTGGATCCTGGCGCTGCTCAACCTTGGCACCACAGGTGGGATCTGCTGCGCAGTCAGCCCTGACTCAGGCTAGTAGAACAATGCTGTGTGTTTAAAGATTAGGCACTGTTTTCTCAGATACATCACAGCCTACTCCCTCACCTAATTAATTTATTTTTTTGGTTTTTTAATTTTTTTTAGAGACAGAGTCTCACTTTATTGCCCTTGGTAGAGTGCTGTGGAGTCACAGCTCACAGCAACCTCCAACTCCTGGGCTTAGGCGATTCTCCTGTCTCAGCCTCCCAAGTAGCTGGGACTACAGGTGTCCACCACAACGCCTGGCTATTTTTTGTCTCAGTTTGGCCGGGGCTGGGTTTAAACCCGCCACCCTCGGTACATGGGGCCAGTGCCCTACTCACTGAGCCATGGCGCCACCCCCTCACCTAATTAAAAGCGTTTTTGCTTGACCGTCCCCTTGTCAGTGAGGCCTTCCTAGGCTACCTTATCAACACCCATGGCTCTCCTCACGTCCACATTATTTTGCGTGCTGTCACCACAGAGAGCATTCCCTTGTTAGCCTGTCTTTCCTGCAGCATCAGCCCCTCTAGGGCAGGACCACCCTCCATTTGGCCCAGAACAGGTCAGGCACTGAGGAGGTGCTCAGTGTGAATAGGCTTGTATGCAGGAAGCTAGGTAGAGTTCACACTCAGTGCTGTTACCACCTCTCGCGTATGTTCTGACCACACTAAACACCATCTAGGCCCTTCCCATCTGCAGTGCCTCTGCTGTCCCAGCCAATTTCTCTTCCTCTTCTGGCTCTGCTCAGGTGTCTTTTCCTTCAGGAAGCCCTGCTGATTCCAGGCTGACCTCCCTCAGGGGGGCCTGGACAGTGTTCTGTGCTCTCTGCTAAGACTGGGTTCTGCCCGGGGGCAGGGGCAGCACAGCTGACTGTGCCCCTTCTGTCTTCCCAGGCCTTGCATCACACCCAGCAGACAGGGGGCACTCACTTCCTGCCATCAGAGAGCATAGACAGCAGTGACAGTGTTCACAGCTGCTGTTTCCAGGGTGGTGGCTGTGCTCCCTGCAGTGCTGTGCTTTTCATCTACTATCAGGTCACCCTCACAATAAACCTAAGTCTCATTTCAAGAGAAACTGAAGCCTTGCACCCAAAAGCATGTGGCAGCCTGGATTCCCCCTCCAGGCCCTGCTGCCCTTTTCTAAGCTGAGGAAAGGGGGGCTCTGTCCTTAGGGCTGGAGAAACCTCTTCATGGGGTGGGGGGAGGGGCACGGCGAGAAGGGCCGCTAGGAAGAGTGTGAGTGAACAGTGACAGTCCACCAGATTCCCAAAGACATGTCCTCCTGCAGGATGGGGGCTCCTGACCTCTGCCAGCTCAGGTGGGCAGGGGCTTACCTCCAGGCCACTGCTTGTCTTGTGACTTCAGACTGGCCAATTCTGCCATCAGCACCTTTGCTAAGGGAGATGGGCCATCAACCACAGAAGGCAGCGCCCAGGGACTCTCTGCAAGGGGGAAATAGGGAGAGGGCAATTCAAACATCCAGGCACAGATTCCATATACATCCTTGTCAACTGCTGGGAGAGATGGTATGAAATGACAATGACAAGCATGTTTACGGGGACCTTGCCACAGGAATGGACATTTCCCCCACTCTCAAGGCAAGGCCTCTGTGCGGGACTGTTCCTGTGTTTCCCAAGTTCTGGCTGACTCATCTCCAGGGATGCCCCCATCCACCTCTGCCACAGTGTCCCCTGCTGGCTGCTCCAAGACGACCTGACCCAGGAGCTTTGAGAACCCACCACTGACCTGGAGCTGACCTGGACAGGGCTTGCATACAAGCAGGCCTGGAAGTTCCAGTGGATGCTTCTGTGCCCTTCCAGGACCCTCCCTGCTCTCCCAGAATACTGCCTCCATGCCCTCCTGTGTGCTGGGACCTCCCATACTGTCCAGCCCCGACCTCTCCCCTGTGGCATTACCCATCCTACAAACATCTGTTGAGCACCTACTACCAGACAGACACTGAACTCATGATCCCTAGGGCACCTGTGGCCTAGCAAGGAAGGGGAAAATCAAACAACAATTCTGGTAAGGTGAGTAGAGGCTGTGAGCATCAGGGCACAAGTGGTATACATGCTAGGGGTGGGCTGAGGGTGTCTTGTAAGGGGAAATCTCACCAGCTGTGAGTTGCCAGGCAGTCAGGAGGGAAGTATGTTCTGGGACAATGAACCTAAAACGTACCACCTGCATCAGCAGTACCAGGGAACTTGTTACACAAGCACATTCATGGGCCCCATCTCAACCTTACTGGATCAGAAACTCTCGAGGTGGAGCCCAGTCATGTAGTTCAACAAGCCCTCTGGGAAATTCAGAGAGAATTCTAAAATTTGAGAATGAGTGCTCTTGGCAGAGAGACTAGTAAGTGGGAAAGCCTGGGGTGCAAAAGCTTGTTGTGTGTTCAGAAAAAACTAAGACCAAGGAAGACTGCAAATGCAAGATGTAAGTCTAGGGAGGAGAGCAAGGGCCCAGTTGCTTCTCTGTGCCTCAGTTTCCCCATCAGAGAAGAGGGAGACAGGCTGTTCCCTGTCTCCCAGAGAAGAGGGAGAGGTAACTAAGTTGATATTGTAAAGTTCCCAGGATAGTGCCTGGCACGAGGTGGGTGCTGTTGGAACCACCTGTCAAATCAACGTAAAGGGAAGGATAAGGGCTGGGCCCAGGAAAGGATATGACTGTGGTGTCAGTATGGAGGGCAAGAAGGGGGAGGTGGAGTGAGAGGGGCCCAGCAGCAGCCCCTCCACCCTCCAGGCTGCCCTGCTTGCTACCCAGTCTTGGAACCAGCAGCACACCCAGCCAGCAATGCCCAGGCCAGAAACTGGTGAGTACTCCCCTCATCCCTGCCAGCCCTCAATTTGAGTTTTACCATACCAGCTTTGTGATCATCTGCCCTCTGATTAATCTGCTTCTGCTGGGCTTGATCCTAAAGGAGTACTGACTCTTCCCTGAGGCAGCAAGGGCTTCAGAGCCAGCCTGACACTGTTCAAACCCTGACCAGAGAAGCAACTCTGTAATCTTGGGTAGGCAGTTAACCTCTCTGAGCCTCAGTGTTCCATCTCACCACAGTGACAGAAACCTAATTCTTGTCACAGGGTTCTAGGAGGCTCATAACATCCTTGATACAACACTTGTTATAGCTGCCCTTGGAAAGCCCCTGTCGGAGGATTCTGGGAAGATGGCCGACTGGTAGCAACCCTGGTCAGAGGCTCCTGAGCAAAGGAAGAAAAACTGGTTGGAATCAGAATCTATGAAGCCAAAGACGGGAGCTGAGCTCAGAAAGAAGTTTGGCAAGCTGTAAATCCAAGGAAGATCATTTAAGGACACAAAATACAGGACATGGAAGAAGCCCAAGTGCCCATCGATCCACGAATGGATCAACAAACTGTGGTATATGTACACCATGGAATACTATGCAGCCATAAAGAAAGATGGAGACTTTACGTCCTTCATGTTCACATGGATGGAGCTGGAAAATGTTCTTCTTAGCGAAGTATCACAAGAATGGAAGAAAAAGTATCCAATGTACTCAACCCTATTATGAAATTAATTTATACTTTTTATATGAAAGCTATAACCTAATAACAGCCTAAGAATATGGGAAGGGGGGAGGGGTAATGGGTAGAGGGAGGGGGATTCAAGGGTTCACTTCTGTGGTTTATCTTACAAGGGTTCAAGTGAATCTTTCTATGAGTAGAATATGAACATTTTAACACAATAACTAAGAAAATGACATGAAGGCTATGTTAACCAGTTTGATGGAAGTGTTTCAGATTGTGTGGGAAAATACCACACTGTACCCTAGAAGTGCATTAATGTACACAGGTACCATTCAATTAAAAAAAGAAAGAAAGAAAGAAAGCCTCTGTCCACTCTGCAGATCTGACTAGGTTACTTCCTCCCTCCCCTCCTCCCCCAAGGAGGAAGACAAGCCCGGCCTTTCCCATCTGACATCAGAGCCTAATGAGAACCACAGCAGGGCACACGCCTGGTTCTGGGGGACCAGCCCTGACCATTCCCCCAGAAGGGTTACAGGCCCTGGGTGCACACACACACCCTTGCCCCTACCAAGCATAACAAACATCACTATGTGTCCCTAGATCAGAGGGCAGAGGCTCTAAACCTGGGACCCACTGACTTCCCCAGCGGCAGGGACCTGAAAACTAGTGTTCAGAAGCTTCAGCCTGGACGAGAAAAAATAACCTCTTCATTTTCACTAACCTCTAGTTGCAATATAGCCTTTCCTCTCATGAAGAATGGAGGTGACACAGAACAGCAGGATTACCAGGACCTATGCTTTTGCTTTCAGTCTCAGATAGAAACTGCAAGTGTTTTCCAATCACATGATAGTTGCTGCAGACACTAGAAATGCGCTCCCCCCACTACTTCCAGTCTCATCTGGTGACTTACCAGCTTTGATGTTATTTAGTGCATTTTTTGGACACATGTATCAAAATAACTCTATAACAATATCATTATTTCTTTCTAATCCTGTGTATTTCATTTTGGGTATTAAAAAACATTCTAACAGGACAGCACCTATGGCTCAGTGAGTAGGGCACTGGCCCCATATAGGAAGAGTGGAGGGTTTGAACCCAGCCCCGGCCAAACTGCAACAACAAAAAAATAACCAGGCGTTGTGGCGGGCGCCTGTGGTCCCACCTACTCAGGAGGCTAAGGCAGGAGAATAACCTAAGCCCAAAAGCTGGAGGTTGCTGTGAACTGTGACGTCAGAGCACTCTACAGAGGGTGACAAAGTGAGACTCTGTCTCTCTTCAAAAAAAAAAAATTCTAACAGAGTTACCAGACACAATTGCGAAAAGTCATCTGTAAATTGCTTGTGCCGAGGGGCTTTCTGCATGTGAAGTTCACAGAGTCAGGCACTGCCCACAAGAGCTATCACTCCTGCTACAACCACACCTGCCACATTCCCGGCCTGCACCTGCGCCCTCTGCGGGCTGGGTCCTGCAGGGTGGGATGTGTACAGGCGGCGCGCTGGGCACACTTGTGTCCCCATCTCACCAAAGCTGAAACCGGGAAAGAACACAAATTCTAGGCCACGTCCCAGAAATCCCGTTGCCCCTCTCCACCTTCCAGCCCTCTTTTCTTCCGGGCCCTAGGGACACTCCAGGCACCAGGAGCCCACCGCTTGGAAGGCGATATGCCAACCACCCTCACACCTCCAGAAAAGCGTCCCCTGGGCCTTTCTGGAGCCCCACCTAGGCGGCCAGGTGTGAGCAGCCTCTATCGAGGCAGGTTGGGGGTCACTGCCAGCTCCCTCGAGCTACATCGGCCTCCCCGAAGTCCCCACCCACAGGCCCATCCCCCAAGACCTCTTCCTCCCACCTCCCTAGCCTCAGTGGGCGGCTGCAAATAGCGCCCTTGCCCCAGGCCCCTGTGTTCGGCATGCCCCGAACCTGGAGGGGCCGCCTGGCTTTCAGCCCTTGTCCCCTTGGCCTACCTCCGCCCCATCCACACTCGGTATGGAACTTGGGCTCCAACCTGGCCCTCTGCCTAGCCGCCACAGGGCCCCGCCTCTCACCTGCAGCGCCCTCCCGCACCAGTCCCAGCATCAGGAGCAGCAGCAGCGGCCGCCGGAACGTCTGCGGTCCCCCGGCTGACAGCCTTCCGCGCCAGCCCGGGGCGCCAGGGCTTTCGGAGCCCATTCTCAACTGCGGGACCCAAACCAGGCGGCCAGCGTTGTCCAGCCGTGGGACGCACGTCGCTCTGGAGGTCTGGGACAGACCAGCGGCAGAGCCCAAGTCCTCTGCGGTTGCTGGTGCGGGGCCTAGTGCCGCCCGGGGCGGGGTCGGGAGACCCCACCCTTCCGCCAGGGGCGGAAGGCTGGGGAGACCCCGCCCACCTCGGAAACCCGCGGTCCTCTGGCGGTCTGCTCCGCCCGCCCGGGAAGAGCTAACCAGAGAGTCGCGAAACCCGCGGTGTTAAATAACTCAACATACAACTGTGTGCTTCTTCACGGAGTCCTGAAACGCGACGAGGTGGTGAAGCTGACGCTGCTGCCATTTGGAGTGTTGTGAGGAGGACAAGCGTTTGCAACAACTGCCGTGTGATTTGAACACACCTGTGGTTTCTATCGGGGACCGAGGTACACGGGTCTTATTAGCCTTATGGAACTTTACTACCTACGTTCATCGCAGGGAGGAAAGGCAGATTTCACCTGGAGGTTAGTAAAAAGGAATAAAGCTTATTTTTACAAGTAAGGTTCATAGACCCCCTGAATTCTGACCAGGGACTCACATGTTTAATATAATGGCTTTCATCTGGGTGGTTTCGGATATTTGAAAATTTGTGGGGATGGCTTTCGCGGTCCCGATGATGAGGGAGGGTCCTCCCCTGTGGGCGAGCAGGGCCAGGAATGCTGCAATCTAGACTTGCTTGCCTGGAGGTCACCACACAGGGGGGCTCTGCTCAGTCTGTTCAACCCAACACGAGTGGAATTATAGAGAAACGCCAGTTCACTGAGTCAGAATTAAGTAGGGGTCTTTTACTGGCCGGCAGTCAAGAGCGGGGTCACACCTCAAAGTCTCTTGATCCCCTTTGGGGGAGATGTGCGTGTGAGGTTTTTAAACGTGCTTTTTGGTGGGGGGTGGGAAGCCCTGGAGCAAGCAGAATTTTACTGAAGCCAACGCCTGCAAAGGTTAGATCTATAGGGTGAGGAGGGGTGCTTACAAGGGGGACCTGGGGGATGTGCACAGACAGGATTGTGGTTTCACAAGATTTTACAACTTTCAGAGTTTCAGAAACTTCCTGTTTCTGCAGAGTCGCTGCTGGCTCAAGGGGCTAAGGAGCTATTGTGGTTACCAAGAGGGGAGGGTGTTGTAAGCTCTTAACAAAATGGAGTTAAGTCTGATTCGCTTGCTCAAAATGGATGGAGTTAGGGCATTACAAGTCAACCTCCTTGTGATCCAAGTTTAGTACACAATCCTTGTTTTAATATTGTCAGAGGAGGCCCGACTCTCTGGGAGGCCTAGGCGGGCAGCTTGTCTGAGCTCAGGAGTTGGAGACCAGCCTGAGCAAGACGGAGACCGAGACCCCTATCTTTAAGAAAAACAGAAAAACTAACCGTGTTGTGGCAGGTTCCTGTAGGAACTTGGGAGGTTGAGGCAAGAGGATCACCTTAGACCGAGTTTGAGGTTGTTGTGAGCTATGATGCTGGGGCACTCTAGTCTGGCAACAGGGTAAGACTCTGTCTCAAAAAAAAAAAAAAAAAGAAAGAAAGAAAGAAAAAGAAAACTGTCCCCCCATTTGTCCCCTGCAATTGTCCCCTGCAGTCCCATTACTGGGCATCTATCCAGAAGGGAAAAAAAACTTGTATTATAGATACTTGTACCAGGCTGTTTACTGAAGCCCAATTTACAATCGCTAAAATGTGGAAATGGCCTAAATGCCCTTCAACCCCAGAATGAATTGGCAAGCTGTGGTATATGTATAACATGGAATATTCTTCAGCTATTAAAAAAAATGGAGATTTTGCAGCACTTGTACTAACCTGGATGGAGGTAGAACACATTATCCTTAGTGAAGCATCACAGGAATGGAGAAGTATGAGTCCTATGTATTCATAGGTGGGGCATGGGGGAAGGGGTGAGCAGACAGAGGAGGGAGGGGTGAGGGTAAGGAGAAGGAAAAAAAAGAAAATAGTGACTCATTCTCACATAAATTGGATTCAATTTTGACTAAAGTACATTACTTAAACATTAATTTTTACTTCAACTTGTTAATATGTTGTTTAGGATACAGAATACTGCATCCTCATTTAAAAGTGGATTATGTTTGTAATTTCCCCTTTATAATAATATATTTTTTCCAATTTTAATATCAGGTGTATCCAGATGAAGCAGAATGATTTTGAAGTATTTCTTCTTTTTCTGTTGTCTATAAGATTTGGCATGATCGGCTCTGCGCCTATGGCTCAACCGGCTAAGGCGCCAGCCACGTACACCTAAGGTGGCGGGTTCAAATCCCCAGCCCGGACCCGCCAAACAACAATGACGGCTGCATCCAAAAAAAATAGCCGGGCGTTGTGGCGGGCGCCTGTGGTCCCAGCTACTTGGGAGGCTGAGGCAGGAGACTCATTTGAGCCCAGGAATTGGAGGTTGCTGTGAGCTGTAATGCCACGGCACTCTGCCCAGGGGGACAGCTTGAGGCTCTGTCTCAAAAAAAAAAAAAAAAAAAAATTTGGCATGATCTGCTTTTTGAAATTATCTTTTATTTTTATTTATAAATATTAGTCATCTATTTTTTGAGTCTTTGGGGAAAAAAATGAAGTTGATTGATGACTCTATACTGAACTCAGAGTCAAAGTATTCTATAATAGTCATGCTCTTATTTGACAATGTGAATGTTACTTCCTTTGCATTACTATTATTATTATTGCTTAATACTTCGTTGCAGCAATCGTCTGATTTCTTTTCCAAATGTATTTATCTTCATTCATTCTTTACAAAGTTTTTGTTTCTAGTCCTTATCTTAAACATTGTTATTGTTGTTAAATTTTAAGCCTTTTTAATACTGTGAAGGCAAAAAGTGGAAACCTAATAATCACATGTATATGTAAAAATAAAAAAAATTTAAAATAAAGAAAGAAAAGAAAGAAAAATATTGTCAAAGGAACAATGGAAAGGAAAGACTAGAGTTGCAAGAAGGCTATAGGCATCAGGCATTCTGGCTAATCAAATAAGTGTATGAAGGAAAAAAGCCTGCAAAATTAGTAAATCTGCATTATGACATGATTATCATATTCTTTTTATTTTTTTTTTTTTATTGAATGGCAACTATGTAGATTATCATATTCTTAAAGGTTGTTACATACCTGCAGACATTAGTGTTGCAAAAATCAAGGAGAACGTCATTTTTCAAGGCACTCCAGGTTTATTTTGGAGGCCAAATCTAATAGGGTAATCCAGCTAATTTTGGTTTGCTTCCAGATATAAAATAAGGTGACTGACTTATTCCAGTTACCCAGGACTTTCTGATCTTGGCACTGAAAGTCCACCATCCTGGGGACCCCCTGAATCCCCAGCAAACCAGGATGGTTGGTCACTCTACAGCAAAGAGGTTTCCCCTGACTGTGGGACATGCTCGGTGTCCTCATGAAGGAAGCAGGCAGATGTCATTATGACGAGCTGTGCATCAAGGACACAGCTATGCTGCAGAGGGAACGTGCTTGGGCTCTGTGTTGTGGGTGCTTCACCTTCCACACAGCAGGTTCTATCAGGCTGCATTTGTAGCTGTTGTATTCACAGAAATTTTTTTACATCTGCTCTCTGGTCCAAATGTTTCTGTCCCACCCAAATTTATATGCTGAGCCCTAATCCCTAATGTGGTAGCATTAAGAGGTGGAGCCTTTGGGGAGGTAAGTCATTAGGTTGGAGCCATCATGAATGGGATTAGCGCCCTTGGGAAAGAGGCCTGAGCCAGCTTGTTTCCCTTTTGTCACGTGAGGATATCTGAAAGGCTCCCTCTGTGAGAAAATGGGCCCTCACCAGCGCAAATCTGCTGGTACTTTGATCTTGGATTTCCATTCTCCAGACCGTAAGCAATACATTTCTGTTGTTTCCAAGTTGCCTTCTAAGGTATTTTGTTATAGCAGCTGGAGCGACTGATACAAGTTGTGAGCACCTGGCTATTCAGCAGTTATGATTTCTGCTTATAGTTTCCACACTAAACATTACGTGTGGAAACATTATCTTATTTTCACTTCATTTTTAATACTTTTTTGTTATCAGTACAATTAGGGTACTATATTGATTTTTATATCTCTGAGAATGCTAATTAAATTATCTTTGGATTTCCCTTAAGGACAGAAAAAGATGTTACAAAATCTTTGTAATGAGGAAAGCTGCTCTGACGGACTCTGACACCCACACCCACACCCCACAGGAGAAATCAGGACCCTGAGCTGGAGGAGGGGCAAAGCAGAGGAGAGACCCCCCTCAGGTGGTTGACCTGAGTCTCACAGAGGGGAGAGAACCATGCAAGTATAGGGAGAAATGCAGTCCCAGCCGGGAGACATGTGGGGACCCATGGGGAGTATCTGGGAGGGGTCAGGGTCCAACCACAGAGAGGCTTGAGCACTGTGCTAAGGAACCTGGAGACTGGCAGGCAGGCTCTGGAGAGTCATAGAGAAATGCAAGCAGGGGGATAGCCAGACCCACCTTCCCATCTAGTCAGCTGGGGGTGGAGGTGGGGGGTTGCCTGCTTCACACCCCAGGCACATGAATGGGCAGAGACAAGGTGAGGTCCCTCCCAGATAAAGAAGTTAAGAGATTTACAATAGTCACTCCAGTAACAGCCAACACCAACACTTAGATAATGGGCCAACTGGCTCTGCTTTAAATCTCTTACAATAGCTGTCAATCAGTCTGTTCAGAAACCTCCAAAGTAGGAACTATCTGTATTTTACAGATGAGGAAAATGAGGCAGATTGAGGTTAAGTAACCTGTTCAAAGGCAGCTGGCAAATGTCTGGGCTGGTATTTGACCTTAGGCAGTTGGGCTTCACAGCTCACAGCAACCTCCAACTCCTGGGCTCAAGCAAGTCTCCTTGCCTCAGCCTCCCAAGTAGCTGGGACCACAGGCACTTCGCTGGGGGCGAGCGGCTGCGACCCTCTTGCCAGGTGCCGCGCCGGGCACAAGCGTCCCGCCGGCCCC